TGGGACTTGTGACTCCAAGTCCATTAACTCACACATATGAGCCAAAGTTGTGGTCCTAATACTGCAGGCCCCATGTTGTTACTACAGAATGGAGTCATATTTTCATTAGCAGATTATGTTGCAGCATGTACATATTTGCATTTTATCAAATTCCTATAGTTAAAACACCAGGAAGGAGAAATCTACCTTTCTTGGCCTTAAACCCAATGCTTAGCAGAACCCTCCAGGTCCTTTCTCCTTCATCTAGATATGAAGCTTTTTCCAGAAGAGGAGCGATTGAGAATCCCACTGTATCTTTATCCAGAGAAGCAGAGGGATAAGGGAGAGTCTTGCCTGTTGAAGATCTAGGTGGCCCTGAATTTGACTTCAGGTTTACTTACTCACTGGCCATATTGGCCCTTGGATGAGTCATGTAATCTCTCTTGAGTTTAAGGATCTTTTTTTTTTTTTAATTTGTAAAAGTGGGAAAATAATAGCTACTTTTTAGGTTCATTAAGAGGATTAAATGAATTAGTGTATATAAAGAATCTGCTTCAGTGCTCTCTTCCCTCTTGTTCTGCTTTTTGTTATTCTTTCTTTTCATTTGGTCAAACCAAAGTTCTCTTCTTGTCATTATTACCCATGATACTGTGGGCAGACTGTCATTTTAAACATCATACAATATTTCTAGATTTTTCAAAATAATCTGGTCAGCCTGCCAAAACTTCAAAGCCCAAAGAAAGAAGAATTTCAAAACCTTAGAACTTCCAGTAGCTTTCATTTTATTTGTTTCGCCAAACACGAAGCCAGATCAGGGCAAAATTCTACATTTAAGATAAGCACCTAACTCCTTTCAGGCAGTGTACATTTGGGCCACCAGATTTTTAATCCAGTGATAAAAGTTAATCTGCTTTATATTAGTAAGAATCCACAAACTATGAAATCCATCATCTTCATCACAAAGTGACAGCGAACATGATCATTTTCAATTTATGCTTTTGAAGAGCTCTATTTACTTTGTCCACATTTCATCTTAATGTACTCCAAAATGCTTGGGGACCTTGCTCTCCAAGGTGATGGGTGATATGCTTGGTTGTTTAGTGCTAGGCAGCAGGGTTACTTGATACACCCTGCTTTTATGGGGATGTCAGCCTTTTAGCCACGCTGAGGTCAAGAGAAAGTGGCTGTGTACATATGTCCACAGCAGAAATCCTACTTTGGCCCAAGCGAGTCTGGCGTGGTTGGCAGGGGTTGTTCATAGGAAATACAAGGATGAAGCAGCAGGATTACAGAGCCAGGGAGCAGGGAACCTAATTAGCCCAGCACCAGGAGTGCCAAAGAGCCTATTTAGTAATTTTTGTTTTTCTTCTTCTAAGCTACCTAGAGGGAGAACTGCTCATAAACATCTAAATTCATTATATGGGGGGGGAAAAAAAAAGACTACTGAATGGAGTAATATAAAGGATGAATCTGCAGCTTCTCTTCTGACCTCTGTTAAGAAGAGAGTCATAAAAGGGACTCCATGAATTTTAGACAGATGTTAAAAGGGCCATGTCTAATTATTACTTGCTAAGTATTACTGGAATATTTGCTGGTAGGAAGAGAATAAAGTCCAAAGACAAGGACATATTTTGAATTAAAAAAAACAAAACAAAACACTAGTTGCTACTTAGATGGCCAGAACTAACCCTTGCTTTTTTTCTGAATCATTTATTTGTTAGTGCTGACATGCAGGCTCTGAGAGAAAGCCACCATGTGCACAGGATGCTTCCGCCTTCTCCATATCCTCAAACTCATCCTTCTCTTAAATGCTTTTATTCATGGTAATGAAGAGTGCATTATGAAAAGCATCATTTGACATTTAGGAAGCTATGTTTCAGAAAAGGGCCTGATTAAAAAATTAAAAACTATACAAAGCACTGCAAGAGGACTTTTAATCTAATAATTAATGTTTATTCATCACTGAATAGATATGTTCACATTAGGAGACACAAATAGCCTAAGAGCCAAGAGAAGACTCTGGGCACCCCGTCTTTTACACAGTGGGAATGGGGTTTGTCCATGAGGCTCCTCCTCCGCTTTCTTCGTAACTCCCTCTGACCTCTAACCTTGCACCAATGCTGGAGAAGGCTCTTCAGAACATAAGACTCCTGGTGGTACAATTAGAGAACCAATGAATGGATTCTTGTCCAACTGCTCATTTTATTATTGCTCACTGAGTCTCACAGATAGAAGTGGTTGCTCAAGGTCATGTTTCCCAGGTCTCCTATCATTATCATCAAAAATATTTATGAACTGCTTTCTATACACTGTGATAAGCAGAGGCACACATCTTTATCTTCCTGTCAAGATATGAGATGAACCAAACATTAGCAATGAGATAACCAATGTCAACATTTCCCTCTGAAGAGCCAATATGGTGCCCAAACTATCAATGGAATGCATTTCCTCTCAAATACTGGATGATACTATGATAAGTTTTCATTGACAAGGTACACACCAAATTATCTTGATGAAAAGGGAAAACATAAGTCATTTAGTTTGCATGCTGGTGTCAACATCTGCCTTGATTAGAGAAAACACATACGTGAACATTACAAAATTTCTATTGGCACTGTTATTTTTACCCCTGGAAAGTCAAGGGTTTTTCTTAAAAAACATATTGTTTCCCACATCTTACCATAAAAAATTTCAAACACACAGAACAGTAGAAAGAATTTTATGTGGACTCCAGGAGTCACATCACCTAGATTCTACAATTAACATTTCTTTACTTGCTTTATATCTGTCCATCTGCTCATCCTACTATCCATCCATCAATAATATTATGTCTTTTATGCATTTCAAAATAGACTGCAGACAGAAGATCACATTTTATTTTGAAGGAGTAGAATCAATGAGTTTTCCTACTCCTGTAGAGTTAGCTAAAAAAATTATTAGTTTTTTTTTTTAAAGGAAGAACAAACTCATCCTCAATTGTGCACACAGATATTCAACAGAGTTCGATGTATAGTCACTGTAAACAGTGTGGTAAATTAACTCAAGGTTTTGTCTACTTTTATTAACCCTGTAGACGTTTTCAGTACTCCTCCAAATGTTTGGCTTTGTGAGGACATGGGCTATAGATTACAGAAAAATAAGCTCTCTGCTATAGATCACAGGAGAAAATTACCTGGAATGTGAGTAATAAGTATTTTTGTTGCTGTTTTGCTCTGTACTCTAATACTTTCTAATTATTCCTTTAAGTATAGGAATACAGAGACTTATATACATAAATTCTTTTCATTTATAAAGTGAGTTTTATAATACCTATGGCTCACGCTTGTCATAAGGATCAACTGTGAAAAGTAGGAAAATACTTTGTAAAGAGTACAACACTACATGCATCTAATATAGCATTACCATTAGTTACTGCAATGCTTCTGTAATATAACACAGCTGAGGTAATGGTCCCCACTGCTGTGTGGCTTTTTCAAATCAGTCAAAAAGATTTCAAAGGTTAAAGGGACAGAGTATTGGCAGTTGCCTTCACTCTGCCTGTCAGTACATCATCTTGTCAAGGATCTAGAAGAACCTTGGTGTATATCGCATAGACTTGTTTTCATTAGTGAAGTGTTTGTTTTGGACATCATCCCAGCCTTGAAACAATACTTCCATTAGCTGGGCACACTACCTATAATTATCCATCTTATCTGACCAATGCCAAGCTATTCTATTTACTGCATCCCATTTACCTTGGTGGTTCTGAAAGGAGAAAGGGGAGGCACTCAACTCAACATATGAGAAGGTTTATTTCATTGAATAAAACAACTACAAATGAACTGTGGGTAGAAATTCCTACAAGACATCATCAGGTACCATAACTGTTAAGTTTGGAGGTGATGGAGATCCACTGTTGCCATACAAAAAAAATTCTAATACATGAATATCTTAAAATGTATAAGCTATAAAGTAGGTAGCTTTCATTTTTGTATCTTGTTGGGTACAAATTGAGAAAGTAAGGAGCAAGGTCAGAGCAAACTAGGGAGTTAAGGAAAGAAAAATAAGCAGGAAGATGAGTTCATCACCAATTTCCATTACTGAGAACCTGCCCACATCTCTTGCACTTTATTTTACCCTTAAGGGGAACTGAAGAGAAATATAGATTTGAAATCACCCTTACCCTCAAAAAGCATCCATCTCACTAAGAGTTGTTTAGAGAAAACAATTGGGAGAAAGAACAATTAGAAACTGTGATCAGAAAGAAGAGGATATGTACAAAGAGAGAAACAGACACACTTTATGATCCAGTAACAAGTTATACTCAACATTGGGCATGTTTACAATATAGACAATGGTCAAAACAATGAGAAGATCTCTAAGAGGATACATGAGTTATTTCAAATTTAAAATATGCTTTTTATGCAGGAAAAGGAATATCAGAGGAAAAGACTGGCTGTGCTCAACTAAAGGAGAGGGTTTCCAGGTCTGTGAACTGCACCTGGCTGGTGCTGACAGCAAGAACATATCTTAAATGTTCCAGGATGGATGCATCAAGCTCTTATCCTCTGATGCCACAAAACATTCCAAACATGCAAGTGAGTTCCTTAATTAGATTCCATATTTATGAAGCAAGCTTCTAATCATATTTATAATTTGGCAACCTATATGACACACATACTGGGAGAAAAGTAGCTTCCCAAAACGGTCAAGAACTTGCTTGCCCTGCTAGCGAAAGTACTCATTGTAATAACAATGACTAATTGAAGTGTGTGTGCACATACATACGTACATGTGTGTATTATATACAAATACACAAATATATTCAACATGCATTTCTAAGGGAAAAACTGGCAAATATGAATTTATAGCAAGGCAGATAGCTAGATATTTGGATAGAAGTTGTATTCTAATAAAATTTAACCATACTCTGAATTAGAACCTTGCAAATATTTTTATTGCGCCATCTGGTAGTACTGTTTATTTCTTCTGTTCCATCTACACGTTCTGCTTAACTGTTGATGGTGCCTCATTCATCTTACCTGACTGCCCAGGGGGAGGGGCACCTGATGGCCCTCGTGGTAGACAGAGAAACACGGTCAGAACTGCAGCTCTGTTCCCAGCACAGGGTTCAATGGCTATTGGTTTGGGTGCTCCCTGAAAAAGAAAACCCATTCTAAATTTGCATTGTTTACATGATACTGTTACTTTATACTTTTCTCTTATGCTTCAGGCAGCTAAAATGTACATTCCTAGTAGCTGAAGAGACACCCTTTCAATTTTTAATAGTTCAATTGAGTATTTTATTGTAGTACTACTTTTTTTTTTTGGTAGTAGTGATCATTTACATTTAGAAAACATTTTTCTTGGGACATGTTAGCATGTGTTTTTGTAATTTTTGAAAAGGACCCATTGCTTTGCTCTATTTCCATCTTTTTTTCTCTAACAGAGTTTATTTTCTAGTGAAGTGAGGTTTACAGAAAATTAAGAGGAAGCTATAGATATTTTCCATAAACCCACTGCCCCCACGCACAGCGTCCCTGATTATTCCCTGATTATTAACATCCCCACTAGAGTAGCACATTTGTAAAAACTGATGAACCTAGAATGACACATCTCTAGCAACCAGAGTCCACAGTTGAGATTAGAGTTCACTCTTGGTGTTGTGTATTCCAAGGGCTTGGACAGACATATGATGACATGTATTCATCACTACAGTATCATATAGAATAGTTTTGTGTGCTCAGTCACTTCAGTCTTGTCCGGCTCTTTGCGATCCCATGGACTGTAGCCCATTAGGCTCCTCTGTCCATGGAATGCATCAGGTAAGAATACTTGCTTGAGTGGGGTGCCATGCCCTCCTCCAGGGAATCTTCCCAACTCAGGGATCAAACCTGTGTCTCCTGTGACTCCTGCATTGCTGGCAGATTCTTTACTGCTGAACCACCAGGGAAGCCCAAAGAGTAGTTTAACTGCCCTTAAAATCCTTCATGCTCTGCCTGCAACTCCAGGAAATTACTGATCTTTTTATTGTCTCCATAGGTTTGCATTTTCCAAAATGTCATATCATATAGTTGAAATCATACAGTATTTAGCTCTTTCACATTCACTTATTTCACTTAAAAATACACATTTAATGTTTGTGTCTTTTCAATGTTTAGTGCTCCATAATATTCCATTGTCTTGATGTATTATACTTTATTTATCTATTCAATTCCTGAAGGATATCGTGATTGCTTCCAAACTTTGTCAATGCTGAATAAAGCTGCCAAAAACATCCGTGAACAAGCTTTTGTGTGGACATAAATTCTCAACTCCTGTGGGTAAATATTAAGGAGCATGATTGCTGGATCACACAGAACCTTGTGTCATTTAACACTAAATCCTGGTACACTGTAGATGTCAACAGGCTTACATCTGAATAAATAAATGTATTTCAATATATTTGATATTTGATATGTAGTCTGTGAGCCACAAAGTTGTATAACTTCTGTTGCTTTTTCACAATTGCTTCTTCTCACCAATGATAAAATAGTTTATCTAATCAAATTATCACAATCCAAAATATATCTTTAAAAATGTTTTCCCAGTTTTATTCAGACATAATTGACACAGAGCAAGACACATCTTTAATATCATTTCAGTGAAATACATATGTAATAATCACCCATCAATAGATTTTTAAATTAATTAATTAACTGTAATTTGGGCTACCCTGGGTCTTCATTGCTGCTCATGGGCTTCCTCTAGCTCTGGCAAGTGGGGGCTACTCTAGTTGTAGAGTAAGGGCTTCTCATTGTGGTGGCTTCTCATTGCAGGGCACTGGCTCTAGGGCACTGGCTCAGTGTTGCCCCATGGTAAGTGGAATCTTCCTGGACCAGGGATGGAATTCATGTTCCCTGTATTGGCGGGTGGATTGTAAACCACTAGACCACCAGGGAGGTCCCCACCAATGCATTTCTATTAACTAATATAACTTTCAGTTCAGTTCAGTCGCTCAGTCTTTGCAACCCCATGGACTGCAGCATGCCAGGCCTCCCTGTCCATCACCAGCTCCTGGAATTTACTCAAACTAATGTCCATTGAGTCAGTGATGCCATCCAACCATCTCATCCCCTGTTGTCCCCTTCTCCTCCTGCCTTCAATCTTTCCCAACATCAGGGTCTTTTCCAATAAGTCAGTTCTTTGCATCAGGTGGCCAAAGTATTGGAGTTTCAGCTTCAGCATCAGTCCTTCCAATGAGTATTCAGGACTGATTTCCTTTAGGATGGACTGGCTGGATCTCCTTGCAGTCCAAGGGACTCTCAAGAGTCTTCTCCAGTACCAAAGTTCAAAAGCATAAATTCTTTGGCGCTCAGCTTTCTTTACAGTCCAACTCTCACATCCATACATGACTATTAGAAAAACCATAGCTTTGACTAGATGGACCTTTGTTGGCAAAGTAATGTCTCTGTTTTTTAATATGCTATAACTTTAGAAATAAGATAAATGAACACAGGAAAATGATCACATGTGATGTTAGTACTTTATTAAGTACTTACTATGGATTAGGTGTTCGAAGTGCTCTATATATATTAATTTATTTAAATCTTACAACTGGATAAGATGAGAACACTGAAGCAAGAAATTAAAAAAACTTGCTCAAATTTACACAGCCAGAAAGTAGCAGGGATGAGATTTAAACTCAGGTAGGTTGCCTCCTGAGTCAATGTTCTTAGCAACACAATGCAGTTTATCACATTATGAATGTAGGAAAATTCATGAACCCACATACATACACATAAACACATGTGTAAGTGCACATGTGTGAACACATACAATCCATGCACACACATGTGAACAAAAGCACACACAGAATTTAAGTTTAAATACAATGTACCTCTGAAGCAACAGAAATGTCATTTTACCTGAGGAATGCTGATTTTGGCTATTTCCCTCAAAAAGTGCAGGTGGGACATGCTTGACTTATCAAAGAAACATCTACTCATAAAGGCAAAATTAAATAGAAGATCAATGTATGGCAAAAACCACTACAATATTGTAACGTAATTAGCCTCCAACTAATAAAAGAAAAAAAGAAAAAATACCCCTACTTTAATTTTTAGAATAAATGATTTGTTTAGTCTCAGCTATTTCACTTTATTTTTTTTTTCTTTTTTTTTTATTTTATTTTATTTTTTTTTATTTAATTAATTTATTTTTTTTTTATCACAACCATAGTGTATCTTTTTTTTTTTTTTTTTACATGTATTCCCCATCCCGGTCCCCCCTCCCACCTCCCTCTCCACCCAATCCCTCTGGGTCTTCCCAGTGCACCAGGCCCGAGCACTTGTCTCATGCACCCAACCTGGGCTGGTGAACTGTTTCACCCTAGATAATATACGTGTTTCAATGCTGTGCTCTTGAAACATCCCACCCTCGCCTTCTCCCAGAGTCCACAAGTCTGTTCTATACATAGGAGTCTCTTTTTCTGTTTTGCACATAGGGTTATCGTTACCATCTTTCTAAATTCCATATATATGTGTTAGTATACTGTAATGGTCTTTATCTTTCAGGCTTACTTCGCTGTATAATGGGCTCCAGTTTCATCCATCTCATTAGAACTGATTCAAATGAATTCTTTTTAATGGCTGAGTAATATTCCATGGTGTATATGTACCACAGCTTCCTCATCCATTCATCTGCTGATGGGCATCTAGGTTGCTTCCATGTCCTGGCTATTATAAACAGTGCTGCGATGAACATTGGGGTACACGTGTCTCTTTCAGATCTGGTTTCCTCGGTGTGTATGCCCAGAAGTGGGATTGCTGGGTCATATGGCAGTTCTATTTCCAGCTTTTTAAGAAATCTCCACACTGTTTTCCATAGTGGCTGTACTAATTTGCATTCCCACCAACAGTGTAAGAGGGTTCCCTTTTCTCCACACCCTCTCCAGCATTTATTGCTTGTAGACTTTTGGATAGCAGCCATCCTGACTGATGTGTAATGGTACCTCATTGTGGTTTTGAGTGCAGGTAAGACGTGGTTGACTTATCAAAGTAACATCTATACATGAAGGCAAAATTAAATAGAAGAAAAAATACCACTGCTTTAGTTTTTAGAACAAATACCTCGTTTAGTCTTTTATTTTAAGCTGATATTTGAATTGCTCAGAAGAAATACAGACATATGTATTCATCCACCTAGAATATTTTAGAATACTGTCAGTTCCAGAAAGTTTAACGAGGCATTAAAGATAAAATATGTCCCTTTTCATGTAAAACTTAGACTGAAATTTCTGGTGACAACAGTTTTATGTGGTTATAAAGGATTTCTCCTTTATAGTGATATAAATCTCATGTTTTAAAATTATCCTCATATAGATACATTTTGGGGATTTTTGATATAAAGGTGAAAGTGGCCATGGTAATAGAAGAAAAGGGCATAAAAATCTTCCAAGAAAATGCTGTAAGCCATGTTGCAATACCTGTATCAAGTTACATGGTCTATGGTTTTCCCCTTTAAAGCTTACATTTAATTTAACAGACTTATTTTTGAAAATGTTAAGCCAAAATCAGCATAAGTACACAGATATTCTTCGATGATGCAAATATTTATAGAATAGGCTTGTCATATTCCAAGAATAACAGAAAAATACTATGAATGTTTTGAACCATGTTTCTAGGCTCCTGAAATTTATCCTAATTTAATAAATGCAAAGTATATGTAAAGGTCAATTGGTTAAAATATACTAAGAGAAGATAGAATGAACTCATGTTTAAATGACGGTGATAAATTAGAAATACTCAAGTCCCTTTTAATATACCTAAGAAATAATTCATCATTTCTTTCATCAGGCAAGGTTTTCTTTGCTATTTTGTTCTTAAGCACTCTATGAAAGTGAAAAAGTGAAAGTGTTAGTCAATCCGTCGTGTCCAACTCTTTGCAACCTCATGGACTGTAGCCTGCCAAGCTCTCTCCAGGGAATTCCACAAGTAAGAATACTGGAGTGGGTTGCCATTCCCTCCTCCAGGGGATCTTCCTGATCCAGGGATCGAATTCGGGTCTCCCACATCACAGGTGGATTCTTTACCATCTGAGCCACCAGGGGAGCCCTAAGCACTCAATAGCACTACTACTCAAAATATCCAAAGCCACGCTAAAACCCTTGATTATAA